GCTGGGCACCACTGCAAAGAGTCTGGCCCCGGCCTCCTGACCCCCACCCTGCAGATATTTAGAGGCATTTCCAAGGTCCCCTCTCAGCCTTCTCTTCTCCAGGCTGAACAAGCCCAGCTCCCTCAGCCTCTCCTCCTAGGACAGATGCTTCAGTCCCCTCCTCATCCTCTTATCCTCAACCAGATCCGGTTGCTCGGAGTCCCATCCAGCCTGGCCCTCAGAGGACGCGGGGTTCAAGCAGAAGAACCCCAGGGCTGCAGAGATGCTGCTCTGCCTGCCAGAGCGGGCTTGGTCGGCAAGAAGAACGCGATCGCTGAAGGTGGCGCAGGGTTTGGGGCAGCTTGGAGTTAACGGCTCTGAAGCAGCCCTCTCCGCGCTTTTGGCTTTGACAGCGAGATTTTTTTTTGGCGTTGGATTTTCTTAAAATGCTGGAGAGAGCAATTCCGTGAGTGAATTAGCTGGCAGTGAATTATCACGTGAGAGCTTTTCGGTAGCGCTTCTGGCAGCGTCTGTCTGCTGCCTTCCACGCGCCGCAGTCCTGAGCTCTTCTCGCCGGTCCTACGCTCTCTCCTACCTTTAGCGTAGCCAAAAAAGGTCCGTGCTGGAGATCTCTAGTGCAGGAGCAGTCCCTGGATTTCTGAATCCCCTCTGCCATGGATTTTTTGAGCTTTATTTCCGTGTTGCAGACAGACTGCAGCCCGGTGATTCTGCCCAAGAGAACGGCGTGCACGGCGGAATTAATTGCGTGGGAGCTACGTGTGCCGCTGTGGGAAACAGAAGTAGGAACCGGGGGCTCTGTTTATTTGCCAGCTTTTAGTTTTTTTTTTTTTTTTTTTGAAACAAATTGCCAAAATGAGACTGCAGAAGTGTTGAAGGACCTAGGAGGACTTGGGCATTTGTGAATTTATGTTCCCATCCTTGGCTTGGCTGGAATGTATTTTGGATTGCGCTCCACGTCAGCCCGCAGCTGTTGAGAGGGATTTAAGGCAAAGATCGTGAGGGCTTTTTGCTGCTTGGCCTGCGTGTCGTAGAATCACAGAATCACTAAGGTTGGAAAAGTCACCCCAACACCCCCATGCCTGCTAAACCCTGTCCCCAAGGGCCACATCCAGACGGTGTTTGAACCCCTCCAGGGATGGAGACTCCCCCACTGCCCTGGGCAGCCTGGCCCAAGGCCTGA